TATCGATATTAATTTTAAAAAAACTATAATAATGATCGAAAATTTCAAATGCCTATGAATAGTTCAACTTAAGTCGAAATTTTTTRAAAATTGCATGGTGGATAGAATATACTTATATAAATATTCGGTGAAAATTGCATGTATCTATGGTCGTTCGTTTTAAAGTTACATCAAAAACCAAAATCGATTTTGTCGAAAAATGAGAATATATATAAAAATAAGAATTTTTTACTTGTGACCCCCCAAAGTACCAACTATATTCACTTTTTAATCGAACGAGGTACTGAAGTCAAAAATCGAAGCATTTTTACTGCCCCAAAACGTGATGACAGACACAAAAAATAAAAACACACAYCATGGTAAAATCAATACATTCATCRCTCCGCTCAGAATCTAAAATAAATTTTAATTTAGTTTATTTAATGCGTCTATTTTTTAAAGCTGGAGTATCAATTTTTTCGTCTGTGGTTACGACTAAATCCCGATGAATATTCATAACTGCTAAGCCGTTCAACCGATTTTTACCAGTTGTGTTCCTCAAATATGTTTTTAAACGCCGTAATGAGAATAATCAAATAATCAATAATTAAGAGGTTGTAAATGTTTTCTTACACGCTGCATGAAACGAGTAATCGATAAAACGTCACAGAACGGTCTAAAATAGTAATTGATGCCGGATCCCGGCTTTACATTATTGTTATCGTAATATAAAGTAATATACTTCATTTTGATATATAAGTAGCCTCTGGTTCCTTTTAAATACTTGTCCCGCTTTTATAGAATTATTATCTGGCCACTTTAACCAAACCAAATATTAAACTTTGAATCAAAAGTTCCTTTTTTTTTTTTTCTATAGTATAGAGGTATCGACACTGTAATGACACCAGTTAATTAACCATTAGTGATATATCGTGGCTTAATGAATATTACAAATAACACTGATGATTATAATAACAGTAAAATAAAAAATAAAATAGAGAAGATATTTGCAGGAATGTGCAATCGATCAAATTTAAATAACGAAGACCAGAATAATGCTCTAAAAGAATACTTGATATATTAGCTAAAAATAGACTTGAGTTTAAAAAAAATTCAGATGAATTTTATATATGCGCGTTTTATGTAAAAAAAAAATTGGAAACGACTACTATGTCCTCTGCTAAGGAATAATTATCAAAAAATCTTTAAAAGATTGCACTGATGAAATAATTAACATAAGCAAATCTAAGTTTGACCACTCTTACATTTAAATAATATTATTTTATTTTTTTACTTAACAAAGACTATTGACTAATGTTTATATTTACACAATTATACATTATTTTTACAATTTGCATATTATTTATACACACTATATATAATTATACTAACTAATTTGTGATTTAATATTTTTTAACATGTATAATTTACTGTAGAAAGTAATTTTATATAATGTATACTTTAAAAGAATTTTGTGCTTAAATGTTGATTAATTTAAATAATAAATTAAAAGTACATTATTGACAATTTTGTCTCTATAAATTATATTTTAAAACCATACCTATTCTAATTGATTTAATATAATAACAGTTATACTCAGTTATTCTTTTCTATGGTTATACTTGCTCAATAATGAACATACTGTACAGCAGTACGACAGAAACACTTCAAACGTTCAAACCATGATAAAATAAACAGGTATGTCAGCCATAGATAATGTATATATTATCTATGGTTTTTTCCCGTGAAGATCTTTAATATCTATGGTGAAGATCCATTCCATAGAAAAGAGATTAAATAGAAAGGCGACTCCCGTGAAACGTTTTGATACTAAGTTCGATACTAGCGCTCCCGACGGTTGTCTTAATTACTAAACAATCGATTGTCAACCATCGATATTACTGATAGAATATCGATATTACTGATAGAATATCGATATTTATACTATTGTATCGATATAATTGCTAT